ATCCTTCAGAAATCATTCTAATATGCTGCTCAAGAAACCTTTTTTTAATAATAATAATAATAATTATTATTAATATTTAAAACAGTTGAGTAATTTTTTTCTGGGTTCTTTGATGAATAGAAGGATCCAAAGATCGGCATTTATCTGAAATAAAAAGCTTTTGTAACATTATACACTATACCATTCAAAAGCTTAGTCAGTATAATTTAGATTTTTTTTGGAAAAGAAAATATAGAAATGAACACTTTTATTTAGCAAGGATGCTTTAAATTGATCAAAAGCGATGATACAGACATTTATAATGTTACAAAAGATTTCTATTTCAGATAAATGCTGTTCTTCTGAACTTTCTATTCATCAAAGGAACCTGAAAAAATTCTATTCAGCTGTTTTCAAGATCATAATAATAATAAATGTTTCTTTGAGCAGCAAATCAGAATATCACAATGATTTCTGAAGGATCGCGTGACACTGAAGACTGGAGTAATGATGCTGAAAATTCAGCTTTGATCACAGGAATACATTACATATTACAATATATTCAAATAGAAAAATAGTTATTTTAAATAGCCTAGTAAAAATATTTCCAATTTTTACTGTTTTGCTGTACTTTGGATCAAATAAATGCAGGCTTAGTGAACAGAAGAGACTTCTTTAAAAAACATTACAAATCTTACTGTTCAAAAACTTTTGACTGGTGTACAGGCAACTTTCATTTTTCTCTAATTTCTAGCTTTTAATTGGCTTAGAAATCCGGTAACTGCTGGACAATAACCAATAATAATGATTTGTTTATATACTACAAACACTTTTTTTATCACATAATAAGGCAGAATAGTTTCAATACTGTAATAAATGCTATGTCAGTTAGCACTGCATTGTTCATATACTTTATTTATTACCTGGAGATGACTTACACAAATAAACCATATATTGTCGCAATCGTATGTTTAATGTCTTCATGTTTCCAAACATTTCTGTTTTTCTGAAAACAATTAACTGTTTTCATACAGCGATAGCTGGACGCTTTTGTCCAAATTAGGGATTTCCTCGTACGACTTTCTGCGCGAGAGCACCTCTGGCTTCGAGTATGATTGAAACATACACTGCACGGAATGTTTTGCGCTCCGCGGTGTTCATCTCGCCTTAATCTGCGTCCGAATAAAACATCAGATCATGCACAGACTATCCTGTCTCTTGGAATTTAAATATATATTTATTCACACCGGCTCTTGAAAACCTCTATGCGAACAAACTTGCCCGAAAAAACTGCAGGGGAAGAATTTATGTGATATTAAAAGTGGGGGGGGGCATGTCCCCCACGTCCCCCGTGTAATCTACGCGCATGCACTCAAATGATCATAATTCATAGATGCCTGGCACCACGATTGCCTCTTCTTTAAAGTTATGAATATTATGAAATATTATCTCCCCCCCCCCCACCCCGGAATTTTGTGAGTAGAATAAAAGCAACGAATAAAAGCGAATTAAAAACGTTGCGTTGCTGAAATAATAGTAGGCTTCTACTATTTAATTTAATCTTTTACTATCAAAAACTGTTAAATCTTATCACTGTCAAACATAAAGCCATTTATTTATGTTGCCAAGTTGTTGTTTTTTTATGCCTGCAGTGCATTTTACTTTTATAAGCATAATATCTACATTTGATTTTTATTATTACTTTGGCTTATGACTCAGCTGTTTTTGGACCGCTTTATTGTTTATTGATTTATTACATTTTACATTGATTTCTTCTGTTTTCAGTGACACTGGGCTCTCCTGACACTGACATTCAGGCTCCTCTCGTCAGTCAAGCAGCATCCATCAGCGGCATGCACAATATTCATCATTAACCTTAATCACTAACCTCATCTGGCATTATATTGAATAAAATTGACCATTTAATTACTCTGCACACAAGTGCATCAGTTTTCTAGTCCATAAGTAAATGTAGTTTGTCTGATCATTTCAGTGAGTGTAATGGAGGAAAGAAAGATCCCTCTAAAATGTTAATCCTCCACAGGGAACCTTTCTGCATCTGTACCGCTGTCACTACCTGGCGTGAAGAAGTCCTGGCATGAGAACATCACTCAGGACCTGAGGAATCATCTAGTGCACAAGCTGTGAGTTCAAGAAGAGCTGTCTCTCATCATAATGGGTGTCTTTGGTTGTTTTTGAGCATTTTTCAATTTCTTAAATGCTCTTGTAGGGTTCAAGCCATATTCCCCAACCCAGACCCTGCAGCACTGCAGGACAGACGCTTGGGGAACTTGGTTGCTTACGCATGTAGAGTTGAAGGGGACTTCTATGAGTCTGCCAACAGCAGGGTAAACCACATAAGCTTTCATGCCACATTTCAGCCTGATTTATTATTATTTTTGCCTTTATTTACACTAGAAAAGCCTGAATTTGAACCATGATTTCATGATGCCTCAACCTTATTTTTATTTGGTGATTTTGTCCTGTTTTTATGTCTAAATGTCTTGTGTTCAGGATGAATATTACCACTTACTGGCCGAGAAGGTCTATAAGATCCAAAAGGAACTAGAAGAGATGAGAAAGTCCAAACTTTCAAAGCCACTCCCAAACACTCAGGATCCTTAACAGTCTGATTTCATCAGTCCAAATCTACAGGACCTGAACAAACCATCGGCCAACAAGTTATTTTATTGGACCAAATCAGTCGTGTGTCACCCAGAATGTAGAAGGACTGAGGGATCTCATTGGAGTTTATAATAACAGTCAGTGTGTGCAGTTTCATGAGCATGAACATACATCTGTTATTCTTGATTTGTTATGTCCATGTTTATTTCATAGTTTTTCTCATGTGTATACAGGAATATTTACTCTATTCTGTGTATTACTTATACTTACCATTTCTGATTGTTCTTTGCTCTTTACATTCTGTTGTTGAATGTTAATGTCAAGTTAGAGGAATAAGTGAATGTCTCCACCTAAAGGTTTTCAGCGTCACCGGATGATGTTGTGAAGCAGTAATTCTCTGTGGTCTTTGTATGATATAACAACACTTTGTGCTGAATTTGTGCTGCTCAAATGAAGACAGACTGAGCATTAAGATAGACACAACTGACATTATTGAATAAACTTATTTTTTAAATCACTTATGTTCTCCGGATTCCTCCGTCAGCTGAGTTGACATGACAAAGTTGACTGGTTTTGGATTTCAGACAAAACTCTGATATTTAGACATATCTTTTGATGGACAGCGATCTGCTAAAGAGGCTGGCTGTTCATTTTACTGTAATCCTTGTATTAAACATTTGTTGGCATTAATGTTGTTGTGAATAGTTGTCATTCACGTATTTTCCTTTTTGCAGCATATTTATGATAAAAGTGATACCAAAAACAGGTGAGTGAACAAACACTAATAGCATCTGACATTCTTTTCCCAAACAAAGCTTTAATTTTTACTGTCTTCCTCAGTAAATGCTAAGCATGCAGTGTGGGATCTGAGAGTCGTCGTCTTTACCTCTGAAAGTCTCTTTGTCTTTTCTCTGCTGATTTTTCTCATGTTTGGACCCTTTATGTAACTGGAATTGTGTCCTTGTTATCCTTACAAATAACTGAAATCTGTTTAATGCCCCTTACATTCAATGCGGCTGGTCAAAATGTTTCATTTATGTTATTTAATTATGCAAATTTGCATTCTTCCACTATAAAATCTAGTTCCTATAAAACAGAGCAATTTGTTGTAGAATTGGATGTTTGTTAAATAAAGGAAACTATGGACGCTTATTTCTGCCATGGAATAAAAACATAGTTGTAAAAACAAAAATGTAAGTAATTGCAACCTTTTATCACACAGTTCTGACTTTTTCTCACAATTGCGAGATATTAAGATATTAATTGTTAGATATAAACTCACAATTCTGAGAAATACAGTCTGAACTGTGAGATATAAATTTATAAATGTATAAAGTTAAAATTGTAAGATAAAAAGTCGCAGTTACATTTTTTATATGTTTATTTCATGGCAGAAATAAGCTTCCATTCAGCCATTATATCAGCTGATGTTTATCATATCTGTGCTTTAATAGAGCTCACTTGTCTTATCTCAGGGATTTCTGACGTGAAGTGTTTGCAATATTGTCAGGTTAGTGAACTAACTGAGATTTGCAATCAACCTTAAGTTTACTTGATGTATAACTGCATTTGCATTTGTCTTGTGTAGAAAGCAGTGGGGTCTGGTGAGCAGAACCAAGATTTTCAGGCAGTGGTGAGGCCAGACATTTTTAATTGAGTGGGGTAACCTAGGGTGGACCTCAGTGTCTATTTAAAAAATCATTTTACAATATAAATGAGATAAAAATAAGGATGCAAATTTTGTGTTATTTTTGTGATCGTAAGACTGTATGGATGATAGCCAGTTTTTCCTCTGTGATTATTTACAAAGTCGGTGAGTGTATGATGCCTAGTGTTTTAAAATCTGATCTCCTCCGACTGAATGGAATCAAAGTCTGAAGCTAAAAAATCATAACCATCATACACTATGCGATTTTCTATTAAATCTGTCGACTCAAATCTGCAGACTGGCTCTGACTTTCGGCAACTATTGTGTGAACTTCTCCAGACTATAAATCGGGGTAAAAGTTGTGTAGTGTATTCCAACCTCTAGAGTCTAGAGTGACATTACATGTTGCTTTGAACATATAAGATCCGATGACGATGATGCGGTGTTTTCCAGCTTCATTTGTAATTGTTGGGACGTTCAACCAATAGAAACTGGATCTCAGGTATGATGGATGGGACGATGACTAAAGACCAATCGGGGACTGTTTTACAGTGGTAGCACACTTGGATTGAATCGCTTATATTGACATCAGCTCTTAAGTTCACAACAGAATAGAGGCGCAAAAACTGAAAATATCAGTCCTCATCCACCAGGATCGTATTACTACTTACTTTTTTTTCTTTTCTTTTACTTCACACATACAAGTTGTTTGTATGTTCATGTATTTGAGCAATTATTAATGTATGCAGGATTTTTCTTTTCTCATTTGATTGGGCTGGCCAGCTGTCAATCTGAGTGTATTATGTACTGTCTTATGTAGCCTCAGGTGAATATCTTTTTACATAGTTTCTTTAATTTAAAATGTTATAGGCCTAAATGACCTACAATAAAGGCCCTTTGCTTCATATTAAACAACCAGAGAATACAGAAGTAGATTAAAACACATTTTATCCTAAACCTAGAATGCAGCAGCATGTGATGAAACTCCAGCCAATGAATCAAATCAGAACCAGAGGACGGCTGAATCACATGAACTAGAAATTCTCCTGGCTGGCAGGTGTGATGTGACAGAAACTCAGCCGGATTCAGTGAAATCACAAACATAATCAACAATGAGAGAAATTTAGCTTTTGCAGAATTTGTGCTTGCCATTTAACAATCATTTGAAACTTAGCAAACTAGCAGCTCCAGTAGTAATGAAACTGTTTATCTTGAACTCTGCCATGGCAAGTAGCATGTATAAACCTTAATTAAACCAAAATCAATTAAAAAGAAAATGATAGCCTACCTGAATTATATCATGTTGTACCCACGGTTGTACAAGCGGTTTGGAAAATGGATGGATGGCTGATTCAGGCTGCAGTCACCATCTCCTGGTGAGACGCGGGATGTCTAAAATATAGCTTTATTTGGTGTAATATTTATATGCAGAAATTGACTTTGGCATGCAAAAGACTGATAAATTCATAATTAATGGCATGGCTGGTTCAGTCGACAGAAATACGGGACGCAAAGGCCTAATTGCTGAAATGTGTGCAGGGCAAATCTCAGGTCAGTCTGAGCGCTCATGGTACGCACAGTGCATACAGCCGTACACCTGCAGGCGCCACTGAGTTATGATATGAGAATAGTAAGGCCTGTAGATAGGGAGTACATGTTATTTAAGGAAAATATAATTATTAATAATTTTTTTTTTTTTAGAATTACATTTTTTTCTTCAAATCTAGTCAGTGGAGTAAAACACCCCCAGGAGGCATGGCTTAATTACTGTAGTTACTCTGTTATGAACATCAAATCCTTTGATTTTCCATCAAATGTATTCTAGTTGGTTGATTAAAAATATTTGGACTTTATATTCAAAAATTACTTCAAGTTAGCATCAGGTAGTTAGCCAGTTAACATCAGCTACCAATATTTTTCAAATAGGCTATTATAAATTTGTAATTAATAATAATTGACTATATTCTTTTTAATTTTAAGCGAAAACTTCATGTACTCTTATTTAGCTGTAAAAGTATAAACCAAATTGCTTTGTCAGACCAAACATGAGAAAATATAAAATTTATAACCGCGATAAACTCCCCGTGCTGGGTTGCATGGAAAGACAATGATCATCTATCGACGAGAGCCAGAGATATTGTCAGAAGCATCAAATATTGGCAATATTAAAAGGATTTAGCATTTCCAATTAACGTTGGCCTGTTACATTCTTCTTCTTATTAGGCCTATTTTTGTTATTAGGTTACTTTTATTATTAAAGTAATATTACAATTACTTGCCCCGCAATAATTTCATAGCGCAGCACCGAATAACTGACGTGCTGTGAGGATAATAAAAGATTAGGCTATTAGCTTACTCCTCATTAAAAATTAGTTTAAAAAGGTATTTTAAAACAGGTCTATTATACAATGAATAACAGACCCATAATTACAATTATTAACACTGCAGTCATCAATGAAAATAAAGAGCAGCTTTATTTCAAGCACTTCAAAAACAACCTGTTTCACACAATGTTTCTTCTCATTTTTTTATAATAATAATAATAATAATGATTAGTTACATTTATATAGCGCTTAACGGGGAATCTCCTCAACCACCACCAGTATGCAGCATCCACCTGGATGATGCGATGGCAGCCATAGTGCACCAGAACGCCCACCACACACCAGCTCATTGGTGGAGAGGAGACAGAGTGATGAAGCCAATCAGCAGATATGGGGATGGTTAGGAGGCCATGATGGTCAGAGGCCAATGGGCAAATTTGGCCAGGATGCCGGGGTTATACTCCTACTCTTTTTCGAAGGACATCCTGGGATTTTTAATGACCACAGAGAGTCAGGACTTCGGTTTAACGTCTCATCCGAAGGACAGTGCTTTTTAAGAGTGACTGAATCTGCTCGGAAGAACGTCAGAGGTGCCCCGATCGTGAATAGTAAATATTCAACATATGAATATATGGGTGGGATGAATGCAATCAGGAAGAAACAGAACAGGTGTGGGGCTAATTAACAACCAATAAGACTAATGAATTACTAAGGAAACAGATTGACCAGGGAACTAATGCAGGGGAACATAAATACAGAAAAAAACTAAACAAAACAGAACAGAAACTTGACAGTGCGCGGGCCACAACAGAAATATTAAGGGAATAAATTAAGACAGTTAGGCTATATAGCCTACCGTTATTGTAACGGGGCTGACAAGACGTGAGACTTGTGGATCCATTTGCAAAGCTTTATTAAGCAGAGAGGTCAGAAACACGGGCAGGGTCGAACAAGGGCAAACAGGTAAATGGCGGGCTAGACACAAGAATAATCCTAGGGCGAGCGAAGGTCAACGAACGGCGAACAGCATCAGAAGGGGCAAGACGAAAGGGAGAAATCCAGGAAAACAGGCGAAGATCCGGAACCGAGAAAAACAGGCAAGGAAAACTAGGCTAGGCTAGGCTAGGCTAGGATAGGAGGCTAACAAGGGCTCTGTAGTGTAGCTATCAAGAGATATGCGCTAAACAATACTCGGCAGAGGGAAGGGATCAGAGTGAGAGCTAAATAGTGAGTGAGTGATATGAAACAGCTGTGCAATCAGTGCTGTGCAATCAGTGAACCAGCTGTGTGCAATCAGGGCTGTGTGCAATCAGTGCTATGAATGATGGGATATGTAGTCCGGGGTGATGTGCAACAGTGTGTGGTGCGAGAGTCAATGAAATTGGAAAGAGTGACCTCTGATGGCTAGCAGATGGAAGTTCATGGACCGGATTCGTGACAGAGCCCCCCCCCCAAGGAGTAGCTTCCAGACGCTCAGAACACTTTATGATTCCGGAGGGCAGTGGAGTGGAGGCGGAACAGGGGGAGCGATGGAGGTCCAGAGAACCACCAGAGCCAGAAAGCAGACCACCACGGCGGAGCAGAAGACCACCACGGTGGAGCAGAGG